CGGGGGGGAGAAAACTAGACCTACCGGAGTTCATTTTTTTTAAATTTTGTGAGTTCATTACCTTTTAAATTGTGAATTCTTACCTCTGAAACTTGCTCCTATAAAACTTGGGCCCAGTCCCTGGCCCAATTATGTACCTCTGTACTTTTTTGACTACCCCCCCGGATGGGTATGGGGTGCATAATAAACATATTAAACTAAAACACGAGAGGAAAAGAAAAAAAGTTCTCTGAAAATTACAGATACAAACTTGAAGTTTCAATTAGATCCGGGGCGCCTTGCCAGCCTCAGCAGGGGGGGACGCCCCACCCCTACCCTGAGTTCATACCGGCTTCCCACCAAAGACTTTTAAAAAAAAATTTTCGCAAGCGGAAAGATGGAGCTGCAAAAGTAAGCCGTTACGGGTACCCTCTGTAAATAAAAAAAAAAATGCAAAAACCGGGGCTGGAACGATACACAAATAACCCGCCATAAAAATTCCTTTAACCTTTGGGGGCCTGTTCCTAGGCCTTTGTGTATCCATTGCTCTCGCGCTCCGTCCCGGGATGGATATGAGGTGCAAATAAACGCCACTTCGGTGGAAAAATTTAAAAATCAAAACCCCAAAAAAAGAGAGAAGCTTACGACCGTTTCGCCCGACTTGGACCATTGACAAAGTCACACTTAAAAAAAAAGTGGAAAAAATTTTCAGGAAAGGGTCCCAAGGGGATAGGGGGGGAAGACGGACAGATAAGATAGCCGGGGGGGAAGTGTTCTTAGCCCAGAAAATAGAGCCAGAGGTTAACCCCAGCAGCTAAGGGCGATCAGGGGGACAGACTTGAGAACGGGAAAATACGGGGACTGTTGCACCGAACTTTTGGAGTTAAGTCTTGAAATCTTGAGTAGTGGCAGCGGGGCTAGGTCACATAAAGGGGTAGAACACAAAGGGGAATTATAGGGTAACTGAGGAGGCAGGTTAGCAAGGGAGCCATTTTCGAACTTTTGAAGTGCCCTAGATAGGTGGTAAGTTTAGCCTTTTTACTAAAGGGTGAAACGTAGAGGCTTGATGAACTCAAGAACTTGGGTGAGTGTGAAGTAAAGCGGTGATTCACAGCTACTTGCTTTTCCCAGCCCCGGCTTTTGCAGTTCAGTACGGTCATGGTGTCAGTATTTGAAGAGAAGTGTAGAAGGTAAGGTTTTCCCTGGGTTTACTGAGTCGTCGTTATCTTCCTCTTTGGATGGATTCATTGGGGAATTACAAGGGTGGTAGCAGGTGACTGAGGGTCACTATGAAACATGCCTTCGCCGATGGGGGACGACCACCTCAAAACTTTAAGGGTGATGGCTGATTACTCGTCTTCAACTTTCTGCTTCATAATTTTTCTGTAGCGATAAGAACCTATGGAGGCAAAACGTTTCGAAATAAGATCCCCAACTGTTGCAATTGGTTTTACCTAAAAACCCTGTGGGTTTTTATCCCTTTTTTAATGTTCAAACTGTAGGTGAAAAGGGTTGTGAAACAGCAGCTGGGGAGGGGGGGAAACGGGGGTTGGGGCGCATGATCAACGTTTCAGCGGGGGAATGGTTTTAAAAGTTACAGGAGATTGCTTGGGCAGGAACAGGTCGGCAGGGGCAGTAATTTCAGGACGTTGGGAAGGATTTTGAGGAGTCTGCGAAGGTGTGGAACCCGGAAAATTAAAGGCGGGCATGTTTTTTAAGAGGGAAATATTTTTTTAATAATGGGTGTTGAAAGGCCCCGGGTTTGCTGCGTTTACAAGGTGTGCATACACCATGCAGTACAGCCCCTTTGGGAGGAACTCCGTCGGGAGTAGAGAGAGGGAGTTGCGGGCGAGGTGCCTGTAGATACATGTAGAGTCTTGGGGGGGGTTTGGGGTTTTGGTTATTGCGCGTATGTCGGTAAATTTGGGAGGTGTTCTTCAAAACTTCAGTTTTCTTCAATATATTTCTTTCCTGAGGGGCCCCTTAGCTGCAAGGGTTGAGATTCCCTTTGCATTTAAAAGACATTTTGTGCTGTAGTAAGGGTGCAGGACCCTGAAATCGGTCCATCATTTCCACATTTTGAAAAAAAATCTTATCCCTTAGGGGGGCAGTCCTTTGGGGTTGGTTTTTTTATGGAGTGCAGGTCCTGCAGGGAGATGTATGTAAAACGTTCTTGTTCTATTGATAGGGTGAATGTGGTAATAAAGAGGGCCAACCGTCAGAAAAGGCTTGGCAGCCAGGGAGAGTCTGAGAATGTAATCTTTAGCATATATAGCGTTAGGAATCTTGAGATGCTGTCACCGGGGCCCGGGTTTTTTTTGGTTCCTCATAGATGTCTTCGTGTTCAGTAGAAGGGGGTGACCATTTGTTCAGTCTTTTCCAAAGACCAACGTTTCGACTTCAAGAAGGGAGAGGGGGGGAAAGAGTAAATTTTTTTGTTTTTGGGGTCCTGATTGAAGAGTCGCCCATTATTTTGACGCTTCCGGTCGTCTTGCAGACGACAATAAAAGGAGTCCTTCAAGAGTGATTGCCAAAATTTTGCCCCGAGGCAGGTCCAAGAGGGTAGCAAAGCTAACTTCAAGGGAGTCATTTATTGGCCCATTCGCAGGCTTGATTTTCAACGATTCGAAGCTTTTGGGGAAAAGATTGATTTTTTTGAATATAAATTCAACCCCCGGGGGGCAAAAGAGAGGTTCTTGAGTGAAGCAACGTGTATCGGACTGTGTGATCAAGCGACAGTGGAAAAACCAGAAGAAAACGAACAACGAACGAACAAAATTTTCAGGTAAGACCCCAAATGGGATGAGCTGGAAAGACGGGACAACGAAGATAGTGTGGAGAGGAGTGTTCTTAGTTGTAAAAATAACCCTTAACCCAGCAGCTATGTTCGGGGGGACAGACTTTGAGAACACACATAGCGGGCTTTTCCCCGTTGGGAACCGGTGGGTGAGTGGGGAAGTGTGGACAGACGAAGAATTGGGGAAAAAGGAAGGTTTTTGATTTAGATAAAAAAAACCGGCTAAACCCCTGCGTGGCAACTGCGAGGCATTAAAGGGGGCATGTTGAGGACATGATTATTATTATTACAATAAAGGGGGGGAACCCCAAAAACCCGGGGTTTATACGCCCTGGGGGGGGGTGGGAAGGGCAATTCAGGTTAATTTGGGGAACTGAGCACAGACCCAAATTTCAAAATAAAACCCCCCTCCCCAACTCAAGGGAAACCTTCCTTGAGGGTGGGGAAAAAGGGGGAAAGAGCAACTGCAGACAGTGCCGCGGCTGTATGTTTTCAGGCTGGGGTAAAGAGTGGTTTGGAGTCAGGTGTCGGGAGGCTCAGTTATGTTTCGTAAGTGGTTTGTGTTTGGCACACTTCGCTGGTGATGGGAGCCACTTTTTTGATTTTCTGAATCTCTTTTGGGACATGTGGAATTTTTGCTTTTCTGGGGTTGGAGCAGTTCAGATTCTCACGAGGTAAGATAGTGCGTTTCAAAAGGAAATTTTTTGTGAGGTTTGGTGGGTGTATTTAAAAACAGCTCCTTCTTTCATTAAGTGGAGCATATCAGTGCGCTCATTTCGGTGGGAGGTTGGGGGGGGTGTAAAGGTTAGAGACCCTTTAAAGGCTTGGTTAGAAACGGTTCCCTGTGGTTTCTTTTTCTTACTTCTTCGACTACTTTTTCCCCCTTTCCGGGGTTTTTTATGGGTTTTTTCGTTTTGGTTTTGGGGGGAAAGGGATTTTCGGGGTTTTTGAAGAAAATTAAAATTCCGGGAAAAATGAAAGTTAAGCCCTTTTTTTAAAAAATTTTTTAAATTTTAAACTTTAAAAAATTTTAAAAAATTTTTTAAAATTTTGGAACATAACCCCCAAAAAAAAAATTTCCTCCACCCGTTTGGCACTCTCCAAGCCAGGGCTGATTACCCCCTTTTTTAAATTTTACTTGTTTTTTTTTTCCCCGTTTTTTTGGGGGGTGGGAAAGGGCTAAAATAAAAATTCCCGAGTTGGGTTGGGGGGGGTGGGGGGTTGTGAAACAAAAACGGGGTTTTTTTTTGGGGAGTCTTTTTTAAAAGTGGAAAGGGTTAGGGGAAAAAATTTTGAATGTTGAAATTTTGGGGGGGTTTTGGGAAATTAAGTTTTGGATTTTTGGGAAAATTTGAGGGGAAAGGGGCCGGGTTTTAGATTATGGGGTGTGCTAACATCGTATGATTGGTTTGGGGCGCGAAAGGGGGGATGGTGGGTTGTTTTTGTTTAAACATTCTGGGAGAGAATTTTTTCAAGGGGGGAGTTCCTTTGGGTTGTTTTTGTTTTTTTAATTTTTTTAAAAAGGGGGGGGTTTTTTTAAGGGATTTTTTTTGCGGGAGGGGGCCCCGCGGGGGGCGGGGAAGGGGGGGGAGTGGGAAAAAGGGAGGGTTGAGGGGGGATTTTCCCCCCAAAAAAAGGGGTGGGAAAAGATGGGAGTGGGGGCGAAAACCCGGGGTTTTGGAAAGGGAAAAAGGGAAGGGTAGGGCCCCAAAAAGGGGGAAAAATTTTGGGGGGGGGGGGGGGGGGGGGAAAAAAGGGGGGGGGGCCCGAAGGGGTTTTTGGGAAAAGTGGAAATTTGAGGGTGGGGAAGGAAAGAAGGGGAAAAAAAAGGGGGGGGGAGAGGTGATTTTTTTTTTGGTTTTGGGGGAGAGGGGGTTTCCAGGGGGAGGGCCAGGTTTTTTAAAAAAAAGGAAAGGCCCCAAAGGGGAAAGGAAAATTTTGGGAAACCCCAAAAGCCCGTTTAAAGAAATTTTTGGGAAAAACAGAATTGGCCCAAAAAGAACTTGAAGAAAGGGAAATGCGGGGAAAAAAAAGGGTTGAATAGGTTTTAAAACAGGAATAGCCCCAAAAATTTTTTTTTTTTTTTTCCCCTGGGAAAAGGGATGAAAAAACCCAAGGGGGAAAAAAAAATTTAAGGGCCCAAAAAATTTTTAGTAAGAAAAGGGGGTTTGTTATAGGCCCGAAAAAAAAATTTTTAAATTTTTTTTTAAATTTAAAAAAAAGTTTAAAATTTAAAAAAAGCCTTTTGGAAAAAAAAAGAAGGAGTTAAAAGGGGGGGGAAAAAAGAAAAATTTTTTAATTTTTAGTATTTAAGGGGGGTTTTAAAGGGGTTGGGGGAAAAAAAAAAACCTTTAAAATTTGGAAAGTAAGGGGGAAAAGTTGGGTGGACTTTGGTAGGATTAAAAAAGCAGTGGGGGGGGGGGGTTTTTTTTTTTAAAAAAATTTTTTGTTTTAAAAAGGAGGGGAAAAGGGGAGGCCGAAGATGGAAAAGTGAAAAAGGTTTTTAAAGGGGAAAATTTTTTTTGGAGTTGAAAAAGAAAGGAAGGGTTAGGAAATGGGGGGGGGGTTGGGGTAAAAAGTTTTTGGGGGGGGGGAAAGGGTAGGAACAGTTTTGGGTAAAAAGGAAGGAAAAAAAATTTTTTTTTGTTTTCCCTTTGTTTTTTAAGCATTGGGGGCAGGTTGGAGTTTTAAAAAAGAGAAGGAAAAAAAATTTTGAAGAAATAAAGCCCCTTTTTGAAGAAAAGGGGGTTTTGGGGAAAAAAAAAATTTGGGCCGGGGGGTAAAAGGGGGAGGGAAAGCCAATTCGGGGGGGGGAAAATTTTTTAAAAGGGCTAGAACAAGAAGGGATTTGTGGGGGGAAAAAAAAAAAAAAAAAAGAAAGGAAGGAAAAAAAAAAAAATAAAAAAAAAATTTTGGGTTTTAAAAAGGGGGAAAAAGGCAAAGGTTTTTTAGCCAAAAAAGGCCGGGGGAAAAAACCCCCAAAGAAAAGGAAAAAGAGGGGGTGGGTTTTTTCAAATTTTCCTTTAAAAGGGGGGGGTGCCCTAAAGACCGAAAAAAGGGGGGAAGGAGTTGGCAGGGAAGTGGGTTGTTTCCCAACCCGAAAAAAAAATTTAAAAATTTTTTTTCGAAGCCGAAAAAAATTTTTGGGGGGGTTAAAAAAGGAAAACTTGGGGCCCGGGGAAAAAAAAGGGGGGGAGAGGGGAGGGGGCCAAAAAAAAAAAAGGGGGGAAACCCCTTTTTAAAGAAATAAGGGGTTTGGTGTTTCAAAACCCAAAACGTAAAAAAAAAAAACCAAAAAGGGGATCCCCCCAAGTACGATCAGTCCCCCAAAAATTTTTAAAAAAAAATTTTTAAAAGTTTGGTTTGGGTTGCAAAAATAAAACCAAAAAAAAAAAAGGGGGGGGAAAAAAAATTTAAGGGCCCCGATTACATCATTCTTAGATTCTCAGTGCGATTCCGGCACGGGGAGACTATATTCATTTATAACAACACAAAACATATACTCAACCCCTGCCAATTTGGATTCAGGAAAAATAAAAAGCACTAATGATGCAATCATAAAAATGCTAGATCTGCTTTACACAGCATGGAAAATAAGGAATATCCACTAGGAATTTTTATTGACCTAAGAAAAGCTTTTGACACAGTAGACCACGACATCCTACTCCACAAACTTGACCATTACGGTATAAGAGGCCATGCGCTTGCTTATTTCAAATTTTACCTTACTAATAGGTATCAGTATGTCACCATTAAAGACACAGCATCAACAACACGGCCACTTGATACTGGAGTTCCGCAGGGAAGTGTCCTTGGTCCCCTGCTCTTCCTCATATACACCAATGATCTTCCAAACGTATCCCAACACCTGAAACCCATTCTCTTTGCTGACGACACGACTTACGCCATCTCTCACCCTAATCTTGCCACCCTCAACGCCATTGTTAAGACAGCCAATAAACTTACGCTTAACACTGACAAAACCTACTATATTATGTTTGGTAGCAGAGCAGGAGATACACAAATTAACATTAAGATCGACAACACTCTAATTACCAGACATAATGAGGGCAAATTCCTGGGCCTGTACCTTGACAACAACCTGAATTTCAGCACCAATATCCAACACATAACCAAAAAAGTATCCAAAACGGTTGGGATCCTCTCCAAGATACGATACTACGTGCCGCAAACTGCCCTTATCACACTATACCATTCACTTATATATCCATACCTCACCTATGCTATTTGTGCTTGGGGGTCAACTGCAGCAACACACCTAAAGCCAATAATAACCCAACAAAAAGCTGCAGTAAGAATAATCACTAAATCCCATCCCCTGACAACACCCCCCCCCCCCACTCTTCATAGATCTAAACTTACTCCCTGTTTCAGTACACCACACTTACTACTGTGCAATCTACATCTACAGGACCTTAAACTCCAATATCAACCTTGACCTAAAACGCTTCTTGATAGTTGTGACAGAACCCACAGGCATAACACCAGACACAAACATCTCTACACGACATTCCCCATGTCCGACTAAACTTTTACAAAAATTCAGTGTGTCAAAGGCCCTAAAATCTGGAACACTCTACCTGAGAACTCTAGAACTGCACATTCATCACCTTCAAAACTACCATTAGAAAACATCTTATCTCCCTGATAAACCCCATAAACTAACTACACGAATACCACCTGGTGGTTCACACTTAAACTCACTCACCCATTTGACCATAAACAGAAATATTAATCTCAATCTTTAAATAATGAATCCTATGATACTCCAATACTGAAACTATGTACTGTGCCAAAACAAAAGCATTCCCATTGCTAAACTCAAAAACTAGTATTTTTCATTTAGCCTAATACCAACTTCCCTCATAATTTGAAAATTTTTTAAAAATAAAAATTTAAACTAAGTCTCCCCGAAATGCTAGCCAGCTAGGGTTCTAGTGGTACACCGTAACATTATTTAAACATGAAACCACAAGTTCGGGGTTTTCACTGAGACCCCATAAGGAATTTTTGGAAAAACAACAAAAATAGGACCCCAGTTACAACCTAACGATTGCAGATGAACAGGAAAAAGGGGGGGGGTTGGGCCCCTGTACATTGCAGATCATTGTTTCACAGAACTGCTTAAGCCTCAAATGATAGGGAATTTTTTAGCAGTAAAGGCGAGAACCAAAACCTAGCCCATTGGGGTCTACAAGCCCCCGGGATAAAACTCCCAGCAATTCCCCGGAACAGCTTTAAAAATTGCCCCTGTCGGAAAAAACTTCCAGCTCCTGCACCCAACATCTTGCTCCGGGGGGTTTTCAATAAGGGCCCTAAAATGGAGGAATATAGAAAATAATATTGTTGCAGTAATAACCCAGGGCAGCTCTGATAAAAAACTCACACCCACAGTTTTTAAAATCCGCACAAAACTTTTAACCACAAAAAAATAGAGCTACTAGACTGGAGAACACACAAACCCCTCATCTTCACTAAAATGATGATCTGATAAAAATGTCACCATATCAAAAACAATAACTCAGATCACACAAATTTAGGTTCAGACATTATGCGGGAACCCCAGAAACCCACAAAAGAGATATCACGAGGGGGGCTTCACCAAATTCAACTTCAATAACAAAAACATAAAGTGGGGGCAAGTAAACCAAGTCCTAACCGATATAAGCTGGGGAAATAACTAAGCAAAAAAACCCAAAAATTATGCCTAAACAGATTAACTCGGGGGCACCGATGTATCACAAGGTTTTCCTCTAAGAAAAAAAGGGGAGTAGAGTAAAATAAAAGAGACGGCTCCCTTTTTCAGGGGACGGAAA